CCCTGACCAGTGCATGAAATTACTGCCTTGTTTTTTCCCTTTAAACATTTAAAAGTTCCTAAAAATATTCTCGCCATCTCCCCAAATACCCCCATCTCCCCATCTACTAACTCCCCTACTCTGTTTTTAACGACAAATCCATATTTTCCCTAGGCTTTCTTAACTTGTTTAACTCACTCCAAATTTTTTTCTTATTTTCATTAAATTTCTTGACAGTCCCTCTCCCACTCTATAAATCTGCTCTCCTTTTGCTCTCTCCCCACTCTCTTTATAATATAATATTATATTTTATACATGTATTTTTATTAATATATATATTTTTTTTTTATTCTTTTGCTACCTTAACTTGTATATTTTATCTTGTCAGTTAAATCTAGTTATACTCTAATTCTTGTAAACAACTTATATAACACCTTAGTGCAATTAAAAACTGAGAGTCTTGTGCCTTTTTTATATCTTAGATTAAACTCAGTTGTACTATAGCTCTTTCTAGCTCATTACTAGTCAGTACCAAAGTCATTATATTAGACCATGTGTAATTACTAGTGGGGACCCTGGTGCTATTTTTAATTTGTATTTTTTTTTACATTTTAGATTAAACCTAGTTGTACTATTGCTCACTCTAGGTCAATACTTTAGACTATACCAAAGTCATTACATTAGCCCTTAGTGCAATTACAAGTGAGGTCTTGTGCTATTTTTAATTTGTATTTTTATATTATTAGTTTATCCCTAGTTGTACTTTAGCTCATTCCAGCACAACACATAAAAAACAACAACTTCATTATGTGTATTAGTGACTATACTCTACATGACCAAAATGCTATAGCTATATATTGTCCAAACTTCCACCACTACAGTTATCATTTCTAAAACTCAACACACAACTCAGGTTTATAAATAACCATAATTTAAACCTAGAAGATGATTGATCACGTTGACCCTGATCTAAACCTAATAATCTGACCACAATCAAAACCTATTGGAAAGTAACTGCCTTTACTACACAGCATCAAAAGCAGCACTTTTCCTAAACAATGATAAAAGTCTATCAGTACTTAACTACAAACATCAGGTCCTTAAGCAAAACTATGATGACCCCCTGGCACTCCTTGAATCACAAAAGGGACACCCTTCTCCTGCATTATTCTTACCGAGCCCTGGCTAAACAGGACACAGTAGATATCTACCCTCTACCAGGTTACACAGCAATCCACAACTGCGACCATACCAAGTTGGGGGTGGTTTTTGCAATCTATTACTCTAACCAATTATCTTGTATCAGCACAATTGCTTTAGTGGAATATGGAGAATACATTTTTTTCTAATTTTACTGTAAAAGCCTTAAGACGCCCATAACAATCTGTGCCCTTTACCGGATACCCAAAACCTAACATCCCAAACTTCAGTGAGAAATTAAAGGCACTAATAAAAAGACAAATGAAAAAGCACCACCTTCTCTTAGTGGAGACTTCAACATCAACTTGGCCTACTAGATGATCAGCTGTAAATGATTTCATCAACAATATGAACAACACACTTCTCATACAACAATAACTAAACCAACCAGGCTCACTGAACAAAATGCAACCCTATAGACCACATATGGACCAATATACTAGCCCCCCTTAAATCAGGGGGTAATCACAGATAGCACTACAGACCACTACCCTACCTTCCTCTTGACAAACATTAGTAACCACCATTGAATACAACAAGTCTCATTTAGGGCTCCCTGATGGGCCTCAATAAGGAAGTTCACAGCTGACCCAGAGACAGTTGATGGCCTACAGAATTCTCCAAGGCCAATGGTATTGACGACTGGACAGACATTTTTCTTAACAAACTACTTAGACTATACAACAAACATTGTCCTATAAAAACGAAAAAGATCACAAACAAACGGCTTGGTTGCCCATGGCTAACCCGCACCATTTGAAAATCCCTTGATAAGAAACACCAATATGAAAAGCAATATAGACAGGGCTTAATACACAAAGATATTCTTAAGCACTATTCATCAGTCCTCACCAAAGTAATAAAGAACGCCCAAAAAGCTATACTACTCCAGTAGATTCATGACACAAAAGGAGATTAAAAAAGACCTGGAAAAACTTCTCAGATTCTAGGGACCCACAAACTGAAAAAACAAGAATATTTTCCTAACTAAACCTAAGGAAACACCACTGCAACCCACGACACAGCTAAAAAGATAAAAGACTTCTTCTCAACCATAGGTTCTAATCTCGCCCAAAAAAATCCCATGTACCAATGCCCCTGCCCGGGACTACCTAGATGGGAATTTCCCAGATTCCCTTTTTCTTGCTCCAACTGAGCCCACGGAAAAATCACCGAGATTATAAGTCATTAAAAAAAAACTCAGGGAATCTGTCTCATGTCCCACCATTATTGTACAAGAAAGTGGCCCATGTCCCCTTTGCATACTATCTCATTGCTTTTTAACAAAGTCAAATAGATGCTAGCACCTTCCCGAAATACTCAAGACGGCAAGGGGTTTCACCAATACATAAAGGTGGTGACCCTACAGATTTAAAAAAACTATAGGCCAATATCAAATTACCATTGCTATCCAAATCTTTGAGAAACTCGTGCACAGGAGGGCTATATTCATTTATAACGTCAAAACATACTCAACCCTGCAATTTGGATTCAGGAAAAAAAAAAAGCACTAAAGATGCAATTACAAAATGCTAGATCTGCTTTACACAGCATTGGGAAAATAAGGAATATCCACTAGGAATTTTTATTGACTAAGAAAAGCTTTTGACACAGTAGACCACAGCATCCTCTTCACAAACTTGACCATTTGGTATAAGAGGCCATGCGCTTGCATATTTCAAATCTTTCCTTTCTAATAGGTATCAGTATGTCACCATTAAAGACACAGCATCAACAACACAGCCACTTGATACTGGAGTTCCGCAGGGAAGTGTCCTTGGTCCCCTGCTCTTCCTCATATACATCAATGATTTCCAAATGTATCTCGACACCTGAACCCCATTTTCTTTGCTGACGACCGACTTATGTCATCTCTCACCCCAAACTTGCAACCCTCAACACCATTGTTAATGAGGAGCTGATCAAAATATCGATTGGATGACGCCAATAAACTTACGCTTAACGTCGACAAAACCTACTACTTATGTTTGGTGCAGAGCAGGAGATACGCAAATTAACATTAAGATCGACAACACCCTTTAAATTTCCAGGCATAATGAGGTAAATTCCTAGGCCTGTACCCCGACAACAACCTGAACTTCAGCACCCATATCCAAACACATAACCAAAAAAAAAAATATCCAAAACGGTTGGGATCCTCTCCAAGATACGATTTCTACGTGCCGAAACTGCCCTTTTTCACACTATACCACTCACTTTATATCCTTTCCTCACCTATGCTTTCGGGGCTTGGGGTTCAACTGCAGCAACACACCTAAAGCCCCTTAATAACCCCAAAAAAAAGCTGCAGTAAGGGAAAAATCACTAAATCCCATCCCTGGCAACACACACCCCCCACTCTTCATAGATCTAAACTTACTCCCTGTTCAGTACATCCACACTTACTACTGTGCATTTTACATCTACAGGACTTAAATTCCAATATTTAACCTTGACCCAAAATGCTTTCTTGATGGTTGTGACAGAACCACAGGCACAACACCAGGGCACAAACATCTCTATGACATTCCCTGTGTCCGACTAAACCTTTACAAAAATTCAATGTTGTCAAAAGGCCTAAAATCTGGAACACCTACCTGAAAATTCCAAACTGCAGACACATTCATCACCTTCAAAGCTTTCCATCAGAAACATCTTATCTCCCTGTACACCCTGTCAACTATTTAATACGATTCACCTGGTGGTTCACACTTACACTCACTCACCCCTTTGACCATAAATAGAAATATCAATCTCAGTCTTAAAATAATGAATCCTAACTAGTCATAAATTGGCCTGTGATACTCCAAAACTGAAAAATATGTATAGTGCCAAAACAAAAGCATTCACATTGCTAAACTCACAACTAGTATTTAGTCACTTAGCCATAATACCAACTTATCTCATAATTCTGTAACATTTTAAACCTAAGATTTAATATAAGTCTGCCCGAAATGCCTAGCCATGCTAGGCGTTCTAGTGGTACACTCTGTAATTATTATTTTACTACATGTAAACCACACAATAACCAAATTCTGTAAACTCAGCATTGTAATACTTATAGAGAATAAAGTTTGAATTTAAATTTGAATTTCCACCTGTACCAGGGATCAGCCCCATGCCTCACTGTGAAAGCTGAATGTGCTAGCAATCGAGCTACAGGAGACCTAAACTTAATCTATTTACTGTGTCGTATACTGATTCAAAAGGTGTGTGTGTGTGTGCGCGTGCGCACGTGTGCATGCATGTGCATGCATGTGCGTGCGTGTGTGCGCATGCGTGTGTGCGTGTGCACACACTTGCGCATGCACGTGTGTGAGAGAGAGAGTGAATTTCTAACATTTTCCATTAACCATTTATTTTAAAGTTAACATAACATCTAGTGTTAATGTTGTTGCCTTTTCACAATAGAGGCATCATGTGCTGAACCATGAATATAGATAAATTTAGGAAATTTGGTTGAATATTTATTTTCCATTTCATTTGCATAGACAATTCCATTAATTAATTATGGAAATGCAGTACCTGAAAACTGGCTTTTGCCTCACCTTAGTCACTTGCAAGCACAATTTTAATTTGTGTATTATGCAACCCCTAATTTACCATACCAAATTAGTCATCTCCCATGGGTTGTTACTAGTAAATGGTGAGTTGTACATATACACAATTATGAGTTTTCATAGATTTTAGTTGCTGGTCTGTTATTTATTTGTAAACTGTAGTTATTTTCACTGCACCACAAGGCTGTAGGAATTATAATTTATGATAAGATCTGCAGTGCATGGTAATAATTCATCATTTAAACGGTTCTGGTTCTCAGGCCTGCTCCAGATGCTGTCACTAATAAGATCTATGAAATCAGCAAGAACATAGTGGAATACAGAATATGTCCTGAGGTACACTGTGACATTTCTGTGATTGGCAAACAGGAGTTTCTGGTGGGTATTTTGAATTTCTTTTTAGAGTGTGAAATTTGGTTGCAAATTCTGCAAAAACATATTTTACAGCCATTCAAAAACTTTCAGGCTATTTTAGCCTGAAAGGTAACTGAATCCTCTAATAACAGTCTGCATTAACATTATTGTCCACTTATTTGCCTAAGTCTTTTGTTTTTCTTTTTGGGCCACCCTGCCTTGGTGGGATACGGCCGGTTTGTTGAAAAAAAAAAAAATTGCCTAAGTCTTTTGAACATTGGCTCTTCTTCTGACAGTTATTGTAATTATAAATAAATTGACTGTGGTAGACATGCTATATACTAAATGATGTACAATACAGTATTCACAATAGGTAACTATAAATAATTCTAGACATCTGTAATAGTTAATCATCATAAGATTCTAAATCTTCTTTCAACACACCGGCCGTATCCCACTGAGGTGGGGTGGCCCAAAAGGAAAAACGAAAGTTTCTTCTTTCAAATTTAGTAATATATACAGGAGAAGGGGTTACTAGCCCCTTGCTCCCGGCATTTCAGTCGCCTCTTACGACACGCATGGCTTACGGAGGAAGAATTCTGTTCCACTTCCCCATGGAGATAAGAGGAAATAAACAAGAACAAGAACTAGAAAGAAAATGGAAGAAAACCCAGAGGGGTGTGTATATATATGCTTGTACATGTATGTGTAGTGTGACCTAAGTGTAAGAAGTAGCAAGACGTACCTGAAATCTTGCATGTTTGAGACAGAAAAAAGGACACCAGCATTCCTACCATCATGTAAAACAATTACAGGCTTTCGTTTTACACTCACTTGGCAGGACGGTAGTACCTCCCTGGGCAGTTGCTGTCTACCAACCTACTACCTAAAATGAGAGAGCCACAGAACTTGGTTAACACAAGCCTATCCGATGTTATCCTGACGCCAAATGACTTCGAACAGGCGATAAATGACATGCCCATGCACTCTGCCCCAGGGCCAGACTCATGGAACTCTGTGTTCATCAAGAACTGCAAGAAGCCCCTATCATGAGCCTTTACCATCCTATGGAGAGGGAGCATGGACACGGGGGTTGTTCCACAGTTACTAAAAACAACAGACATAGCCCCACTCCACAAAGGGGGCAGTAAAGCAACAGCAAAGAACTTCAGACTGATAGCACTAACATCCCATATCATAAAAATCTTTGAGAGGGTCCTAAGAAGCAAGATCACCACCCATCTAGAAACCCATCAGTTACACAACCCAGGGCAACATGGGTTTAGAACAGGTTGCTCCTGTCTGTCTCAACTATTGGATCACTATGACAAGGTCCTAGATGCACTAGAAGACAAAAAGAATGCAGATGTAATATATACAGACTTTGCAAAAGCCTTCGACAAGTGTGACCATGGCGTAATAGCGCACAAAATGCGTGCTAAAGGAATAACAGGAAAAGTCGGTCGATGGATCTGTAATTTCCTCACTAACAGAACACAGAGAGCAGTAGTCAACAGAGTAAAGTCCGAGGCAGCTACGGTGAAAAGCTCTGTTCCACAAGGCACAGTACTCACTCCCATCTTGTTCCTCATCCTCATATCTGACATAGACAAGGATGTCAGCCACAGCACCGTGTCTTCCTTTGCAGATGACACCCGAATCTGCATGACAGTGTCTTCCATTGCAGACACTGCAAGGCTCCAGGCGGACATCAACCAAATCTTTCAGTGGGCTGCAGAAAACAATATGAAGTTCAACGATGAGAAATTTCAATTACTCAGATATGGTAAACGCGAGGAAATTAAATCTTCATCAGAGTACAAAACAAATTCTGGCCAACGTCAGACCTTGGAGTGATCATGTCGGAGGATCTCACCTTCAAGAACCATAACATTGTATCCATCGCATTTGCTAGAAAAATGACAGGATGGGTATTGAGAACCTTCAAAACTAGGGAGGCCAAGCCCATGATGACACTCTTCAGGTCACTTGTTCTATCTAGGCTGGAATATTGCTGCACACTAACAGCACCTTTCAAGGCAGGTGAAATTGCTGACCTAGAAAATGTACAGAGAACCTTCACAGCATAACGGAGATAAAACACCTCAATTACTGGGAGCGCTTGAGGTTCCTAAACCTGTATTCCCTGGAACGCAGGCGGGAGAGATACATGATTATATACACCTGGAAAATCCTAGAGTGACTAGTACCGAACTTGCACACGAAAATCACTCACTACGAAAGCAAAAGACTTGGCAGACGATGCAACATCCCCCCAATGAAAAGCAGGGGTGTCACTAGCACGTTAAGAGACCATACAATAAGTGTCAGGGGCCCGAGACTGTTCAACTGCCTCCCAGCATACATAAGGGGGATTACCAACAGACCCCTGGCAGTCTTCAAGCTGGCACTGGACAAGCACCTAAAGTCGGTTCCTGACCAGCTGGGCTGTGGCTCGTACGTTGGTTTGCGTGCAGCCAGCAGTAACAGCCTGGTTGATCAGGCTCTGATCCACCAGGAGGCCTGGTCACAGACCAGGCCGCGGGGGCGTTGACCCCCGGAACACACTCTAGGTAAACTCCAGGTAGCTGTCAGTACATTATAATTATCATAGTCATGATGATTTTAGGTAATAATTGGACATTTACAGATTATGAATATAAATAATACATATTCTTCTTCTTTCAACAAACCGGCCATATCCCACCGAGGCAGGGTGGTCCAAAAAGAAAAGCAAAAGTAAAAATACATATACTGCTACAAAATATAGTGCAGCAGGTCACTGACTTGCTATGTCGGCTTTCAAAACGTTGGAACATTGGTACTCTGGGAATAGTGATGTTTGCTGTTTTGTAACACTACCATATCTAGTATTCACAAATGACCCGCATATTGGAGACTGAGACTTATGACTACATTTTGATCCAACTTTGACATTGCTAGTCACACAGTACTGTATCTCTTTAAATTTCACTCTAACCTGATTATTATTGACATTCATAAGAAAGACTGATCAGAGAAAGCATATTCTTGCTTCTGTTATAGTGTACAGAATTTTTTTTTTTATTAACACGTCAGCCGTTTCCCACCAAGACAGGGTGGCCCGAAAAAGAAAAACTTTCATCATTCACTCCATCACTGTCTTGCCAGAGGTATGCTTACACTACAGTTAAAAAAACTGCAACATTAACACCCCTCCTTCAGAGTGCTGGCTGTACTTCCCATCTCCAGGACTCAAGTCCTGCCTGCCAGTTTCCCCGAATCCCTTCATAAATGTTACCTTGCTCACACTCCAACAGCACATCAAGTCCTAAAAACCATTTGTCTCCATTTGCTCCTATCTAACACACTCACGCATGCTTGCTGGAAGCCCAAGCCCCTCACACACAGAACCTCCTTTACCTCATCCCTCCAATCTTTCCTAGGCCGACCCCTACCCCGCCTTCCCTCCACTACAGATTTATACTCTCTCGAAGTCATTCTATTTTGTTCCACCTCTCTACATGTCCAAACCATCTCAATAACCCCTCTTCAGCCCTCTGGATAATAGTTTTGGTAATCCTGCTCCAAAACTATTAATGTATACTGTACCATATACAGTGGACCCCCGGTTAACGATATTTTTTCACTCCAGAAGTATGTTCAGGTGCCAGTACTGACCGAATTTGTTCCCATAAGAAATATTGTGAAGTAGATTAGTCCATTTCAGACCCCCAAACATACACGTACAAACGCACTTACTTAAATACACTTACATGATTGGTCGCATTCGGAGGTAATCGTTATGCGGGGGTCCACTGTACATTAATTAAAAAATATATATTACTAATTTTTATATGAAAAGTACTGAATATAAAATATTGTGCATTATTATTGTAAAAAAAAAAAATTAAATGAAATTAAATATGGAATATCATGGCTCTGGAACATTTTGAATACCCATTATAACATTAGTGTCTTTGGGAAAATAAGTAGTGCTAAACAATCGATTTAATTAATTTTCAGGAGTGCATTGTCATATATGGGGACCTTCTGTACAGTACATACTGAATAATGAAAGTAAGGAGATTATAAAATTGCATTTGTGATTTTTTGGCATATATTGATTGTAAGTCATTATACAGTAGATGATTATTAATAATTGTAGATAATTTTATTATAATAAACTGCCAATATATTTTTTTAAGTTAGAAAATTTTAATTAATATGGAAGATGATGGTTGTAGATAATTAATTTAATACAGTACATACATTTTTTTCAATAAAGTATGTACTCGTTGTATGTATTAAATTTTTTTGATAATCATTCTCTTGGCATCACAGTATATTCCCAATTTGTACCAAAATCAAATATGTATATTTCTGTAGGGATAAGGTTTTTGTTTAACATTTTGTTTAAAAATTTCCTTATATTTACAAATTTGCTCATGTGTTGTAGTAAAAGTTGAAATAATTCACGCGAGTTATAGGCCATTAGTCAGCTATAATTTAAAAAATATCCCTCATGATCAGAAATGGTATCCTATATGTTGGAGAGCCTTTTTAATGTCTTCTGTACTTGCTTTTTGTCGTTCTGTATCATACACTTACTTTCAGTATTGGTCTTAAGATAATTGTAGCAGCACTACACATGTGTATGCACATTGCACAGCTGTTATGTCATGTGGTCACCCATTTATTTTTTACAGGGTGGGCATTAGTGATAAACTGCTTTTTATTAAGTCTGTATCTGATTTCTTGCCAAAGGTTGACTCTCGGCCATTTACAGTGGAGGTAATCGATTCGGTTGTTGACTATGTTGAATATATGAAGGAGATATTTGACTTCAGGGCCATAAAAGACCTTCTCCATGGAGCAGCAGGCCAGCCACTTAAAGTTCTTATCAATGCCATGCATGGAGGTAAGATTATTTTTTTATAAACTATTCTGTTGTACTGTAATGCTAAACAGCAAGTTCTTTTTATTAATGTTTATGCAAAACTAATTATTGTATAGTACATACTGTATTTTCACTCCCTAGATGTTAAACTATAAAATTTGTAGTATAATCACTACCCTTTTTGTTGAAATTTATTTGCTTACCATATGAATTGAACCTTTTTTTTTTTTTTTTTTCCCTTTGTGCTGTATCTAGAATTTATACTTTTTACTTGGACCTTTAAGTTTACATTGTATATCCCTGAATTTACTATATTAAATATATATGTTCTAGGTAGTAGGTTGGTAGACAGCAACCGCCCAGGGAGGTACTACCGTTCTGCCAAGTGAGTGTAAAACGAAAGCCTGTAATTGTTTTACATGATAGTAGGATTGCTGGTGTCCTTTTTTTCTGTCTCATAAACATGCAAGATTTCAGGTATGTCTTGCTACTTCTACTTACACTTAGGTCACACTACACATACATGTACAGTGGACCCCCGCATAACGATATTAATCCGTTCCTGAGAGCTCATTGTTATGCGAAATTATCGTTATGTGAATGAATTTTCCCCATAAGAAATAATGGAAATCAAATTAATCCGTGCAAGACACCCTAAAGTATGACAAAAAAAATTTTTACCACATGAAATATTACTTTTTAATACACACAAACTGAAAAAGGCATGCACAATTACATGACACTTATCTTTATTGAAGATCTGGTGATGATTGATGGGATGGGAGGAGGAGAGAGTCTTAGTGTTTAGAAGGGGAATCCCCTTCCATTAAGACTTGAGGTGTCAAGTCCTTTTCTGGGGTTACTTCCCTTCTTCTTTTAATGCCACTAGGACCAGCTTCAGAGTCACTGGACTTCTGTCACACAACATATCTGTCCATAGTGGCCTGTACCTCTCGTTCCTTTGTGACTTCCCTAAAGTGTTTCACAATATTGTTAGTGTAATAGTCACCAGCACGGCTTGCAATAGCTGTGTGAGGGTGATTTTCATCCATAAAGGTTTGCACTTTCAGCCACATTGCACAGATTTCCTTAATCTTTGTAGTAGGCAACTTCTTCAATTTCTCTCTCCCCTCCTCCGAACCAGCTTCCTCAGGTCTGGCCTCTTGCTATTGAAGTTGATATAGCAGCTCATCAGTGGTTAGTTCTTCATTGTCCTCCTCCACCAACTCTTCCACATCATCCCCACTAACCTCCAACCCCAAGGACTTCCCCAATGCCACAATGGATTCCTCAACTGGCATAGGCTTCTCAGGGTTAGCCTCAAACCCTTCAAAATCCCTTTGGTCTACACATTCTGGCCACAGTTTCTTCCAAGCAGAGTTCAAGGTCCTCTTAGTCACTCCCTCCCAAGCCTTACCTATAAGGTTTACACAATTGAGGATATTAAAGTGCTCTCTCCAAAACTCTCTTAGAGTCAATTGAGTTTCTGAGGTCACTACAAAGCACCTTTCAAACAGAGCTTTTGTGTACAGTTTTTTGAAGTTTGCAGTAACCTGCTGGTCCATGGGCTGCAGGAGAGGAGTGGTATTAGGAGGCAAAAACTTCACCTTAATGAAGCTCATGTCCCCATAAAGTCGCTCTGCCACGTCTGTAGGATGACCAGGGGCATTGTCTAACACCAGGAGGCACTTAAGGTCTAATTTCTTTTCAGTTAGGTAATCTTTCACATTGGGGGCAAATGCATGGTGTAACCAGTCATAGAAAAAGTCCCTAGTGACCCATGCCTTACTGTTTGCCCTCCACAGCACACACAAATTAGCCTTGAGGATATTCTTTTGCCTGAATGCTCTGGGAGTTTCTGAGTGATACACTAATAAAGGCTTCACTTTGCAATCACCACTAGCATTGGAACACATCAACAGAGTAAGCCTGTCTTTCATAGGCTTATGTCCTGGGAGTGCCTTTTCCTCCTGAGTAATGTAGGTCCTGCTTGGCATTTTCTTCCAAAACAGGCCTGTTTCATCACAATTAAACACTTGTTCAGGTTTCAGTCCTTCACTGTCTATGTACTCCTTGAATTCCTGCACATATTTTTCAGCTGCTTTGTGGTCCGAACTGGCAGCCTTACCATGCCTTATCACACTATGTATGCCACTACGCTTCTTAAATCTCTCAAACCAACCTTTGCTGGCCTTAAATTCACTCACATCATCACTAGTTGCAGGCATTTTTTTAATTAAATCCTCATGCAACTTCCTAGCCTTTTCACTTATGATCACTTGAGAGATGCTATCTCCTGCTATCTGTTTTTCATTTATCCATACCAATAAGAGTCTCTCAACATCTTTCATCACTTGCGATCTCTGTTTCGAAAATACAGTTGAACCTTTGGCAAGAACAGCTTCCTTGATTGCCGTTTTGTTGCCCACAATAGTAGCGATGGTTGATTGGGGTTTATTATACAACCTGGCCAGCTCGGAGACACGCACTCCACTTTCATACTTATCAATGATCTCTCTCTTCATCGCTATAGTAATTCTCACCCTTATTGCTGTAGGGTTGGCATTAGAAGCTTTCTTGGGGCCCATGGTCACTTATTTTGCAGATAAAATCACCAAAAGCACTGTAATAATACGAAATGTTCCGATTGTATGCTTGGATGTTACCGCGGAGGCTGGCTGGTAAACAATGCCACCGGCGGAACATGTGAGGCTGGCTCAGGCCGCACATTAGATGCGTCTCGAACAAACAGCGTTGAGCGGGTTTTTTAGCAGTATGCGAGGCAAAATCTTAGCGATAAAATGTATCGGTTTGCGGATTTAACGGTATGCGGGGGTCCACTGTACAAGCATATAAATACACACACCCCTCTGGGTTTTCTGCTATTTTCTTTCTAGTTCTTGTTCTTGTTTATTTCCTCTTATCTCCATGGGGAAATGGAACAAAATTCTTCCTCCGTAAGCCATGCGTGTTGTAAGAGGCGACTAAAATGCCGGGAGCAAGGGGTTAGTAACCACTTCTCCCGTATAAATTACTAAATTTGAAAAGAGAAACTTTCGTTTTTCTTTTTGGGCCACCCCGCCTCGGTGGGATACGGCCGGTTTGTTGAAAAAAAAAAAATAAAAAAATATGTATGTACACTCCATCAAGGGAGGTTCCTTGCTACCAGTGAGGGCAGCAAGGAACTTCCTTGGATTGAACTTTATTACTTCCTATTTTCCCAGGAGCTACTTGAACCTTAAGAGTCTAGTACCACCCTCATGAATGTAACAATGTACTAAATGCTGTTAGAATAGTTTTGCCTGAAACTGTTATATAGACGACATAAAATGTTAATGTGTATGAAGGGGAAGGGATGGGTTTGAGTTTTCAAGTTTACTCTGTGGTTGAACATGCTTTGATCAGGACAAAATGGGATGTTTTAGTGATTTTTGCACTTGTTACTACAGTTATTTGTGTTGTAGCCAAGTCTGGCTTCACTGATGCTCTGGTTTGTTTGCACCACACTTCTGTAGGTGTGGTGCAACTCTCCTCGTATACCTCTTATGTAGTAACTGATGCCAGAAAAAGCACCTTAATTAACCCCTTGGGGGCCGACAGGTCCTCTCAGAGACTTGTTCTCAGGGTCGGCCAAATTTAAAAAAAAAAAAAAAAAAAAATTCTAATAAAAAGATAGAGAATTTTTTCCCGATCATAATGACACCAAAAGTATGAAATTTGATGGAAAACTTATGGAATTATGCTCTCGCGAAGTTAGCGGTCTCGACGATGTTTACGCATCGGTGATTTTGCCCACTTTGAGCCCTATTTTCGGCCAATTCCAGTGTACTAGTTGACAAAAATCATAACTATTTTGTTAAAACTCCATTTTTTCTGTCGAATGAGTGCAAGAAACCACCCATTTACCGATTTCAACTATCCAATAAAGTGGTCAGAATTTAGCAATTTTGCCAGTTTCACAAATTTCAAAAGATGCCAATTTCCGAATAGGGTCCAGAATAAACAAGAAAGATATTCCTGGCACTAAAATAACAAGTTCTTTGTTCGTTAGTCACATCCCTAGGCCCCCCTCTTATATTTCTTTGGCTTTCCACTTTGAATTTTTATTCTTACAACAAAAATAAGATTTACTGTTATGCAGACTACTGCATTAGTGTAGAAATGGTATAAATAATATCAGCGCACTTGTGAAAGAATATTAGACTCACCAGTTGATGTGTATTGGACGCTTGGCATGATTTGTTTACTTTTGAACTTCGGTAAAAATCGAACATTTCTGCTACTTTGAACTCGATTTCAAGGTACTTTTCATTGTGAAACCAGTCAAAATCATCTCAATTTCAATAATATGTCTTCCATTCTATAAAATGAGACCAAGAAAACTAGAATACAACAATAAATACCATACGAAAATAGTGCAAAGTCGCTGTTTTAATCCAAAAACACAAAGGTTTTTTTTCTCATTACGCACTGTGTGCTGCAGGATTTTTTTATACTGCGCACACTGACCACATAGACCCATTCTTACATATGTAGGCCTAGTGACATGGTCCTGGAGTTTACCTGGAGAGAGTTCCGGGGGTCAACGCCCCCGCGGCCCGGTCTGTGACCAGGCCTCCTTAGGTCAGTATCCCAGGATGCGACTCACATCAGTCGACTAACACCCAGGTACCCATTTTACTGATGGGGAACATAGACAACAGGTGGAAAGAAACACGTCCAATGTTTCTACTCTGGCTGGGAATCGAACCCAGGCCCTCGCCGTGTGAAGCGAGAGCTTTAACCACCAGGCCACCAGAGCCCTGGTTTGAGGGCGCTAGAATTTAGGCGTACTAGTATGTCAAAAACCCTGGGTCGTAAGACGTAATAGTACGTCCGAAACCCTCAAAGGGTTAACACACACTGGATAAAAGGTGGAGTATTAATACATGTACAGTACATAATTAAAGGCTGTGAACAATGCTTAGATTAAGCAAGTCATAAATAAATTTCTTCCTGAGGGTTCTTGGACAACATCATTATTAAGTATGAAAGTGAGGGTATTCAAACTCTGCTGTGATAGTCATTTTACTGCCAATGCTAACCTTGCATGTTCTCTATAGTGGCCATGCAAAAATTCTCTTGTTAGCCTGGTCTTTCTGTGATGTACACACCAGTCAACTTAGTCTGTTAACTCTGACAAATGCCTGTTCCATCTGACAAACCCTGACTGTTATTACCCTTCTGATGGCCAACAACTTTTGATTTAAGGTATAGCTCTTTCTCAGTTCTAAACCATAATACTGAAGGTTCTTCAGACACAGTTGGGAACTGTGTCAAAAGTATGATGCCCTTCTAAAACTGCAATAGCCCAAGAAGGCAGTCATTCTCAGTTCTATGTATGTTCATTACCACTGTCAAGATATTGTTCCATATCCAATGATTTTGTTAATTTCTGTTATTAATCCTGCTGTTTGAGACTACTGCTGTTGCTATTATCATTATTACTACTACTGCTAGTTACCCATATCAGTTTTTCTGCCTTAAGGAGAAAAGCAGTCAAGTTTAGTTTATTTTTCTATTTTCAGTAACGGGACCATATGTTCGCCGCATCTTTTTAGAAGAACTAGGAGCCAGCCAAGATTGTGCTGTCAATATTGAGCCTCTAGAAGACTTTGGAGGCAAGTTATTATAATGTTGGTTTACATCTTTTGAATTTTAATATATTTAAGCCCCCCTATGCTTTTACCTTTTCATGTAACTTTGTATGCTGTGTACAGTTTCCATTATTTAAAGCTTGACATCCATGACTGCTTCCAATGATTGAAGTACATATTAAAAACCAATAACTAAAAATGTCGATGAAGAAAGGGAGGCGCTAATTTCATGCACTGGCCAGGGAGGTATACCATCTTTTAGGAGTGAAGAAGAGCAGGATGTGAGTTTGGGGGAGGTGCGTGAGGCATTACGTAGAATGAAAGGGGGTAAAGCAGCTGGAACTGACGGGATCATGACAGAAATGTTAAAAGCAGGGGGAGGGGGACATAGTGTTGGAGTGGTTGGTATTTTTGTTTAATAAATGTTTGAAAGAGGGGAAGGTACCTAGGGATTGGCGGAGAGCGCGTGTAGTCCTCTTATATAAAGGGAAGGGAGGCAAAAGAGATTGTAAAAATTATAGAGGAATAAGTTTACTGAGTATACCAGGAAAAGTGTACGGTAGGGTTATTATTGAAAGAATTAGAGGCAAGACAGAATGTAGAATTGCAGATGAGCAAGGAGGTTTTAGAGTGGGTAGAGGATGTGTAGATCAAGTGTTTACAATGAAGCATATATGTGAACAGTATTTAGATAAAGGTAGGGAAGTTTTTATTGCATTTATGGATTTAGAAAAAGCATATGATAGAGTGCATAGGAGCGCAATGTGGCAGATGTTGCGAGTATATGGAATAGGTGGTAAGTTACTAAATGCTGTAAAGAGTTTTTATGAGGATAGGCTCAGATACACAAATAACCCGCACATAAAAGACAGAAGCTTACGACGACGTTTCGGTCCGACTTGGACCATTGACAAAGTCACACTAACAGAGGAGGAGCAGGACGGCTATATATAGGCAGGAAGAGGTGGAGGTAGTAGTAGTGGTAGTAGTAGTGGTAGTAGTAGTAGTAGTAGTACAAGAATTTTATATAATACCGACAGGATGAAATGACACATGCACAACACCCGGGCATCCCCACCGTAGACGTTTCGCCATCCAGCCAGCCACTGGATGGCGAAACGTCCACAACAAAGACAACCAGACGCCGCACATGTGCCTAATTTCATCAGTAGATGTAGTAGAAGAAGAAGAGGTAGTAGTAGTGGTAGTGGTAGAAGTGGGAAATAAGGAAGACGAGCCAGTCAAATACAAAGGAAGGGGAGCACTGCAAAGAGAGCTAGAAACCCACAGAGGGAGAGCAAGCGCACCGAGGTGCGTGAAAGGGGAAGTGGTGAAATAAAATAAAGAAGGAACAGAAACACGAGACAGGAGAGAGAAAGACAACCCAGAGGAGAAAAGGAGAGAGGAAAGGGGAAGAGGAAGAAGAAAAAGAAGAAGAAGAAAAAAAAAAAAAAAAAAAAAAAATGAGGATTCAGGTTAAGTCACGGGTGTTCTGAGTTTGGAGCATTTACAATGTAGTGGGAGAGGAAGGCATCTACAGAGACGAAGCCAGGGCTAAGGTTCATACAAGGAAAGTTGTGTATAAGAGAGGATTCAACTAAACGGCGACTGTTCGAGTTGGAAGTAGGGAAGACAGTTTTAGCAGAAGACCAGTCAATAGGATGGCTATGATCTCTGACGTGACAGAAAAGAGCATTGTTAGTGTCGGCAAGCCTAACACTATTTTTGTGCTCCCTAAGTCTGTCAGAAAGAGATCGACCAGTTTCTCCAAAGTATTGAAGAGGACAGGAGGAGCAAGAAATAGAGTAGACACCAGGAACATCTGTAGAGGGAGGAGAGGTATGAACGAGATTAGTGCGAAGAGTGTTAGTCTGGCGGAAGGTAAGCTTGATGTCTAAGGGACGGAGAGAATTGTTGAGATTAGAAAGACCGGAAATGTAGGGAAGGCAGAGGATAGAAGAGTTCCCATGAGTAGAGAGTTTGGGAGAGAAGAAATTGCGTTTAGCATGTGAGAGGGCCATCCTATTGACTGGTCTTCTGCTAAAACTGTCTTCCCTACTTCCAACTCGAACAGTCGCCGTTTAGTTGAATCCTCTCTTATACACAACTTTCCTTGTATGAACCTTAGCCCTGGCTTCGTCTCTGTAGATGCCTTCCTCTCCCACTACATTGTAAAATGCTCCAAACTTCAGAACACCCGTGACTTAACCTGAATCCTCATTTTTTTTTTTTTTTTTCTTCTTCTTCTTTTTCCTTCTCCTCTTCCCCCTTTCCTCTCTCCTTTTCTCCTCTGGGTTGTCTTTCTCTCTCCTGTCTCGTGTTTCTGTTCCTTCTTTATTTTATTTCACCACTTCCCCTTTCACGCACCTCGGTGCGCTTGCTCTCCCTCTGTGGGTTTCTAGCTCTCTTGCAGTGCTCCCCTTCCTTTGTATTTGACTGGCTCGTCTTCCTTATTTCCCACTTCTACCACTACCACTACTACTACCTCTTCTTCTTCTACTACATCTACTGATGAAATTAGGCACATGTGCGGCGTCTGGTTGTCTTTGTTGTGGACGTTTCGCCATCCAGTGGCTGGCTGGATGGCGAAACGTCTACGGTGGGGATGCCCGGGTGTTGTGCATGTCATTTCATCCTGTCGGTATTATATAAAATTCTTGTACTACTACTACTACTACTACTACTACCACTACTACTACCACTACTACTACCTCCACCTCTTCCTGCCTATATATAGCCGTCCTGCTCCTCCTCTGTTAGTGTGACTTTGTCAATGGTCCAAGTCGGACCGAAACGTCGTCGTAAGCTTCTGTCTTTTATGTGCGGGTTATTTGTGTATCGTTCCAGTCACGGTATTGTGCCTTTTTGTTATTTATTTAGGATAGGCTCAGGTTAGGGTGTGTAGAAGAGAGGGAGACTACTTCCCGGTAAAAGTAGGTCTTAGACAGGGATGTGTAATGTCACCATGGTTGTTTAATATATTTATAGATGGGGTTGTAAAAGAAGTAAATGCTAGGGTGTTCAGGAGAGGGGTGGGATTAAATTATGGGGAATTAAATGCAAAATGGGAAGTGACAGTTACTTTTTGCAGATGATACTGTGCTTATGGGAGAGTCTAAAGAAAAATTGCAAAGGTTAATGGACGAATTTGGGAGTGTGTGTAAAGGTAGAAAGTTGAAAGTGAACATAGAAAAGAGTAAGGTGATGAGGGTATCAAATGATTTAGATAAAGAAAAATTGGACATCAAATTGGGGAGGAGGAGTATGGAAGAAATGAATGTTTTCAAATATTTGGGAGTTGACATGTCAGCTGATGTATTTATGAAGGATAAGGTTAATCATAGAATTGATGAAGGAAAAAAGGCAAGTGGTGCATTGAGGTATATGTGGAGGCAAAAAATGTTATCTATGGAGGCAAAGAAGGGAATGTATGAAAGTATAGTAGTACCAAGCTTGGGTTGTAAATGCTGCAGTGAGGAGGTGTTTGGAGGCAGTGGAAATGTCCTGTCTAAGGGCAATATGTGGTGTAAATATTATGCAGAAAATTCGGAGTGTGGAAATTAGGAGAAGGTGTGGAGTTAATAAAAGTATTAGTCAGAGGGCTGAAGAGGGTTTGTTGAGGTGGTTTGGTCATTTAGAGAAAATGGATCAAACTAGAATGACATGGAGAGCATATAAATCTGTAGGGGAAGGAAGGCGGGGTAGAGGTCATCCTCGAAAAGGTTGGAGGGAGGGGGTAAAGGAGGTGTGATGATTGGTTTAGAAAACCGACAAGTTGAAGAATTGAGACACTTATGCAACACATGGGAATCTTTATTGAAGAAACGTTTTGCCACACAGTGGCTTCATCAGTCCAATACAAAGTAGAAATGGGTAAGGAGAGGCGAAGTTTGAGGTAATCAGTCCCTCAACCTGGAATCGATGTGTTGAGTCCATCACTCTTGTAGGAAATGTAGCATAGGGCCAGAGAGGTGGCTTACATACTGCAGTCAGATGAGATGAAGCAGGAGGAGGCGGGATCACAGTGGGACCTGCCACTAGTGTAAGTAGGTCGTCGTCCAAAGGTTGGGCAAGCGTTGAAGTCTTTGTACCAAGATCCCATGATGTTGCAGTGTCTGACAGATGTGATGAATGGTTTAGAAAACCGACAAGTAAAGGTGGTGTTGTGGGCGAGGGGTTTGGACTTCCAGCAAGCGTGTGTGAGCGTGTTAGATAGGAGTGAATGGAGACGAATGGTATTTGGGACCTGACGAGCTGTTGGAGTGTGAGCAGGGTAATATTTTGTGAAGGGATTCATGGAAACTGGTTATTTTATATAACCGGACTTGAGTCCTGGAAATGGGAAGTACAATGCCTGCACTTTAAAGGAGGGGTTTGGGATATTGGCAGCTTAGAGGGATATATTGTGTATTTTTATACGTATATACTTCTAAACTGTTGTATTCTGAGCACCTCTGCAAAAACAGTGATTATGTGTGAGTGTGGTGAAAGTGTTAAATGATGATGAAAGCATTTTCTTTTTGGGGATTTTCTTTCTTTTTTGGAGAGAGGGGGTAAAGGAGGTTTTGTGGGCAAGGGGCTTGGACTTCCAGCAAGCGTGCATGAGCGTGTTAGATAGGAGTGAATGGAGACGAATGGTACTTGGGACCTGACGATCTGTTGGAGTGTGAGCAGGGTAATATTTAGTGAAGGGATTCAGGGAAACCGGTTATTTTCATATAGTCGGACTTGAGTCCTGGAAATGGGAAGTACAATGCCTGCACTTTAACCCTTTCAGGGTCCGTCCCGTAGATCTACGGCTTTACGTTCAGGGTCCAAACCGTAGATCTACGCCATGAGCTCAGCTCACTCTGATAAACTGTAAGTGGTACATTTGGGCCTAGATATGAGAGAATACATCTATGTGGTATGTGTGCACCACATAAAACAGATCCTGCAGCACACTGTGTATAATGAGAGAAAAAAAATGAAATCATGATTTTTCAATTAAAACAGCAACTTTGCAGTGTTTTTTCGTATATTTTTTATAGTTGTATTTGCGATTTCTTGGTCTCATTTGATAGAATGGAAGACATATTACAGAAATAGAGATGATTTTGATTGGTTTTAGCATTGGAAATGGCTTGAAACTGAGCTCAAAGTAGCGGAAATGTTAAATTCTTGCCGATATTCAAGAGTAAACAAACGACCTCACACATCTAATACACGTCAGCTGGTGGGTCTAATATACATTCACAAATATGGTGATGATATTTATACAATTATTACAGTATTGCATAACAGTAAATCTTCTATTTTTTGGTGTGAATAAAAATTCATTATGTGAATAAAAAATCAAAATGGAATTTATTTGTAAAGCCTCAAAACATAACTAATGAACAGAGGAAATGTTAGTTTAGTGCCAGGAATGCCTACATTGTTCATTCTGGACCCTATTTTGAAATTGGAATATTTTGAACTTTGTGTTAAATTGGCCAAATTAACAATTTCCGATCACTTTATTTTGCAGTTGAAACAGTTGACTTGGCGATTTCTTGTGCTCAATCGATAGAATAGAAGTAATACTAGTGAAATAGCTAAGAATTTGGTTGATTGGAATAATGTAATTGGCCTAAAATGGGAGTCAAAGTCGGCAAAATCGCCGATTCGTAAATATCGCTGACACATCAAAATTCGCGAGAGCATAATTTCGTCAATTTTCCACCAAATTTCGTACTTTTTGTTTTATTACCTTCACAAAAAGATTCTCTACGATTTCATAAGAAAAAATAACAAATTTTTTTTTTGAAAATTCTTGGACACTGGTGCGTGACTTCAGATTTGGGCCTTGGACCCTGAAAGGGTTAACCCTTTGAGGGTCGACAGGCCCTCTCCGAAACTCGTTCTCAGGGTCGGCCAAATTTAAAAAAAAAAAAATTATTTTCTCTTATGAAAAGATAGAGAATCTTTTCCCGATCATAAAGACACCAAAAGTTTGAAATTTGATAGAAAACTTACAGACTTATGCTCTCGCAAAGTTAGCGGTCTCGGCGATGTTTACGCATCGGCGATTTTGCCCACTTTGAGCCCCATTTTCGGCCAATTTCACTGTACTAGTCGACAAAAAACATGAATATTTCGCTAGAACTCCATTTTTTCTATCGAATGGGTGCAAGAAACCACTCATTTATGAAATTCAACTATCCAGTACAGTGGTCAGAATTTAGCAATTTTGCCATTTTCACACAAATTTCAAAAGATGCCAATTTCCGAATAGGGTCCAGAATAAACAAGAAAGACATTCCTGGCACTGTGATTATGTGTGAGTGTGGTGAAAGTGTTGAATGATGATGAAAGCATTTTCTTTTTGGGGATTTTCTTTCTTTTTTGGGTCACCCTGCCTCGGTGGGAGACGGCCAACTTGGGAAAAAAAAAAAAAAAAAACTTCTAAACTTATAGGTAGTAGGCTGGTAGACAGCAACCACCCAGGGAGGTACTACCATCCTGCCAAGTGAGTGTAAAACGAAATCCTGTAATTGTTTTACATGATGGTAGGATTGCTGGTGTCCATTTTTCTGTCTCACGAACATGCAAGGTTTCAGGTACGTCTTGCTACTTCTACTTACACTTAGGTCACAGTACACATACATATACAAGCATATATATACACACACCCCTCGGGGTTTTCTTCTATTTTCTTACTAGTTCTTGTTCATTTCCTTTTATCTCCATGGGGAAGTGGAGCAGAATTCTTCCTCCGTAAGCTATGCGTGTTGTAAGAGGCAACTAAAATGCCAAGAGCAAGGGGCTAGTAATCCCTTCTCCTGTATAAATTACTAAATTTAAAAAGAGAAACTTTCGTTTTTCTTTTTGGGCCATCCTGCCTTGGTGGGATACGTCTGGTTTGTTGAAAAAAAAAAAATACTTCTAAACTGTTGTATCTGTCTGCAAAAACAGTGATTATGTGTGAGTGAGGTGAAAGTGTTGAATGATGAAAGTATTTTCTTTTTGGGGATTTTCTTTCTTTTTGGGTCACTCTGCCTCGGTGGGAGATGGCCGACTTGTTGAAAAAAAAAAAAATCAAAACTAAAGCAAAAAAATTTATATTGTATATTGAATTCATTGGTTTGCACATTTATTTGTCTATTATGAAAAAATGGTATGAAATAAGTCATTAAAGCTGTATAAAAATATTGTTGGACTGTAAATAGACTAGCATCATGTCGAGTATATTATGAAATACACCTAATTTGTTCCTTGTAGGTCACCATCCAGACCCCAACTTGACATATGCTGCTGATCTGGTAAAGGCTATGCAGGAAGGAGATTATGGCTTTGGTGCAGCCTTTGATGGTGATGGTGTAAGTCAGCTCAGAATTCTGTTTTATAACTTAAAGGTTCTAAAAGACTGAGGATGAGGCTTTATACATTTTTTGTATAAATGAAGACCCTGTGAGTGATTCTGTTGAAAAATTACTTCTATGTTTACTGTAACATTAATTCAGATTTATATTGGGTGTAGAGTATGAAACCAAATGTAGTCACAAGTGAAATACCTCTATTCTTCAATCTTCAAAAATACAGTTTCTGATCAAAGAGCTCACGGAAATAATGTTGAAGTTGAATGGTAGTATCACTTAAGCTACTCCACATCATTATAGGGGTTTGACTAGTTTCCTGGTGGTGGTGGTAGCAGAGGAGAATGAGGTAAAGCAGTGTTTTATGGCAGCAGTTACAAACATTATCTTGTATTTTTCTTCCCTCTCTGTATTTCTTTTGCTGATTTCTAAAGTATCATAACCCACATAACCAGGACTGTTAGAACATACAGGCTATATCTCATCTTTGCAGAAATAACTATTCTACCCAGTACGTATTCATTTAAAAAGAAATATCTGTTTTGAGTGTGAGTATAATACATACTACATTTCTGGGTTTCCCATTGTTATTTGGGCCTTAGCAACATGACCTCTACAGTGAGGTGGGTTTGACTGTTCTATACGTAGTAAACCATTCCATACATGATGGTATGCTTAACAGTTTATAAACATTTATTTACAGTATATCACAGAATTTTGAGGTTTAAAATTCTTTTCTCACTCGTTACTGTAGTCCTTACCACACTGATTAAGAATAAGGTGATAAAAGGTAATAACTCGGCAACTAGTTTTTTAGTGACCTTTGAAATAAGTAAAGGTTAATTAAATTGTATAAATTCTTATAATATTGGTTTTGTTTTAGATTTTGCTGCTAATATTTAGTTATATTGGAAATTTTAGTTATCAAACTTTTTTGCCTTAAAAGTTACTTAAACAAATAAAATTGTTTTTTTGTAATGGATATATGGTATATTTAAATTGCTTTAAGAATGTCACTTCTCCCTTGGGAAGGTGCCTTCTCAGTGAATGGTTCTTGATCCAAGGAACCGGACTTATCCTTCTCTTTCTTGAATCAAACCTGAGTGCCTTGCATTTCCCAGGTGCTATATGACCTATAGAGGGTTAGTGCTCCCTGCCTCACAATTGTGATAATAAGGATGTCGCTAGATGTACTCCTTCAGAGTAAGAAAGTAAATTGTAATCAGATGATTAGCAATATTAGCATCATCCCTGTGGTAGAAGCGTTTGTGTTTCTTCTGTATCCTTTTCCCCTGTCAACAATATCACATTCTGTAAACAACAGTTTTTAACAAAATTGGATCTACATGCAGTGTGCTACTACCCTACTTTATATGATAGTTGCATATTTCTTAGTTTAACCATCATTTAGAATAGGGTAGCCACATAGTATGGGTGTACCCAGTTTTGCTAAGAAAAAGAAAAAACTATCATTGATTACATGTCTTGTTTTCAGTAGGAAACTTGAATGTTATTTAATTAAGCTCGTCTCATTTGCATAGGACCGCAACATGATTTTAGGCCACAAAGCATTCTTTGTGACGCCATCAGACTCTGTGGCAGTCATTGCAGACAACACGGACTATATCCCTTACTTTAAGAAGAACGGTGTAAAGGGATTGGCTCGCAGCATGCCCACAGGATGTGCTATAGATAGGTAAGAGGAAAATATTGTTTGTGATTCAGACATGTCATAATTATGACCCCCTGTGGGTTTAGTGCTTAGTTTTGACTAATATTAATATAATTAAGTGAAATGAATGAATATTCACTGAAATAAAGGGTTCATAATTTAAATAAACTTGACAACTTGATTAGTGGGTTATATGATTATAGCTATTATAATCATGGAACACTAAACTCGTAGGATTATACAGCGCACATGGGGGGGGGGGATGGAAGGTATTCAGGCTCGTTCAGGAAACTGGAGCACAGATCCAATTCCCTAGATCAAGAGCCCCTCGCCAGTGTCGGGGAACCTTCCTTGAAAGGTGTGGGTTGCATAAAATAGTTGTAATCTAGGAATGTATTATGGAACATAACAGGATAGTTGATGGACTTACTGGGCATAGTGCTGGGCAGGGATAATCATGTAAGAATGAAATGAACACAAGAGCATAATACACACACCTACCACCTCTATGATCACATCAGAATTACCACATGTAGCAAATTCCTAGGAGAAAAAGGGATGATGCACATAAGTGAATTTGCACTTAGCAAATCTGTATAAAACAGGAGAAACCTATATTATAAATAAAATAATAGGAAAATTGTGATATATGTTTTCCTAAAGCTCCTTTCTGATAATAACCTGAGAAAACAGTATGGGAAAAGGATTTTGCTTAGTCACTTTACTTTAGAATATGTCACTAAATACTGGATTACTGCATTGCATACTGATTAAACAATTTTTTTTTTCTTTTTTAGTTCTGTGAATGGCCGAGTATTCTGTGGCTTATAATTATTATTTGTCTTTGTTATATGCAGTCAGTCACCACTATTCCAAAAGTAGGGGACAGTTTCTTTCAGTTACAGCTGAAGTTCAGGTACGAATGTAAACTGGAGTACATATTTAAAAAAAAAAAAAGATTAAAAGTCCAAGGAATGCATTTCAACACTCATTTCAAATCATTACATACAGAATATTTTAGAACATATAACCTATTTATCACATAGATTGTTTCCCATTGTATTTCTACTATAACTTGCTGTATTTTCATCTCTATTCAGTCACTCCACAAAACTTAAGATCATTAAATCAGTTTTGAAATAATGTCGTACTTTTGTAATTGACCTTTCTTGTTGTACATATGATTGTAGTTAATTACATAAGAGATTCTACTGTGTTTACCAATGTTTTACTACATGTAAACTACGTTATTTGTACCTCATAAAGAAATAAAATTTGTATGTTGGGAACTGGGAGAGATGTAGACCAGTAAAAGTTTTATTTAAGTTAAATGTTATGGGTCTTGTGTGGTAAATTTGTATATTACAAAGATTTAATAGTAAAGTTCCCTTTGCAGTGAAAAGACAACACAGTACCGTACTTTATGGGAAAAGAGTATTGGTGGTATATTACATTATTATTGACAGGGTAGAATGGAAAGTAATATTGTAGAAGAACAAGGAGAACTTGGGAAGAATAGGGGATGTTTAAACCAAGAATTAATATTGAAGCTGTAAGTGAACAGTACTTAGGGAAAGGTAAGAAACTGCTTGTTGTATTTTTTGGATTTAGCAAAGGTATACAACATTGTAGATAGAATAGTACTATGGCAGACGTTGCAAATGCATGGATTAAGTGGTAGGTTACTAAAAGCAGAGTTTGTATGAAGATAGTGAGGCATGGGTTAGGGTCTCTAGGAAAGGGAAGGCTATTTCCCAGTAAAAGTAAGCCTTGGACAAGGCTGCATGACATCACAATGGTTGTTTAATGTATTTAAAGATAAATATTAAAAAAAGTGAATGCTAGGCGGTCAGGAAGAGGTGTGGAGTTAGATAATGAATTTGATACAAAGTAGGAGTTCTCACAATTATTCGTTGTCAATGATACAGCTCCTTTGGGGGATTCTGAAGAGATGTTGTGAAGATTGGTGAAGAAATTTGGGAGGAAATATAAAGGAAGGAAATTAAATGAGCATAGCAATGATTAAGGTGATGTGAGTAACAATGTCTAGAAAATGAATCATTGAAAATCAGATTTGAGGAAGGAAGTATAAAGAAAGTAAATTAATGTATTGTGATGCTTGGGAATGGATGTTATCAGATGGGTGTCTGAAAGATGAATGGGAAAATTTGATGTATTGAGGCATCTGTGGAAAGAAAAGGTAATATATCTAGGCAAAACTGGGAATGCATCAGAGTATAATGGTAAAAACACTTCTTTACTGTATTTGCTTTAAACGTTGTAGTGAGGAAGCTAGAAGCAGTGGATATGTAATGTTTGAGTGTAGTGTGTGCTGTGAACACTATGCAGAGAATTAAGGGTGCAGAACTTTGATAGTGTGGGATTACTAAAATTATAATTCAGAGGGCTGGGGGACAGGGGCATTGTTGAAGCAGTTTGGGCATTTAGTGGCTGGAGCCTAATAGGATAGAGTATAAATCATGGGTAGAAGAAAGGAAAGGTAGTGGGCATAGGAAGAGTTGAAGGGAGAAGGCAAACAAGGTTTTGACTGCTAGGTGCTCGAGCATCTAGCAGGCGTGCGTGAACTTTTTAGATCAGAGTGAGTGGAGACAGGTGGTTTTCATGGCTTGCCATACTGTTGGAGTGCAAGCAAGATAGTGTGTATGAAGGGAATCAGGGAAACCATTTATCCAGTCTTGTCTTGGATGTGGGAAGTGCAATGCCTGCACTTCAGTGTGGTAATATTGCAGTTCAGAGAGTCATTTGAATTGTAATGCCTGTGAACTTCTAACAAGACAGTTAATGAATAAGTAATGGTGAATTATCTGTCCAATTTTTGGGTCACCCTGCCTCAATGGGAGATGACTGGTGTTTAAAAAAAGAAAGTCCAGCTATTAAAACAGTGATGTATTAATAATAATATGTATTGTTTTAAGGGAGGCTCTTGTATTTTTAGTCCCACAAAAAGCACATGGATCACTAAGCACTGATGAAGACAGTAATTAAAACAAATATAAGTGTGAGTAAAGTAAACAGAAGTATGTCTGGACTCCTCCCATAAGGTGTAACAATGTGCTTCATAGTAAGATATGATGCATTATGGTTTAACACCTCTATTCACCAAACGTGGTGAATGAAGGTGTTGAGCCATCTGCTGATCATTATAGATAACCTTTTCTCTGTATGCACCTTGTGCCATGCTGCAAACTGTTACATATTTTTATCATCTGCCCATGGCTTCAACCTTATTAAGAAAGGTTTGAGCACTTGGTATATATCGACATGTAAACATGGTTTATTCTACAACTGTGTGAATGGAATGTCAGTGTGCTGTAATTTCACTGCAGTGGCAGGCTCTTCATTGGTGTGTTTTTAAAACTTATTACATAGGGTTTATCCTTTGTGTTTGTGTTGTATGATGTAGGAGACTGGAATGTAAGGCAATAGTGGTGATTGATTGTATACACTTGTGTAATTCAACATTTTAAAAGTTTTTCTTGCATCTTTATAATTTCAAAAAGGAAGTAGAGCATAACAATCCAGTCTTCATTATGTATTTTTAACATATAATAGATTATATTTTTCTTTCTTTTTGGGTCACCCTGCCATGGTGGGAAACAGCCAACATGTTGACCCTTTCGGGGTTTTGGCCGTACTAGTACGGCTTTCGCGCAGGGTTTTTTGACGTACTAGTACGCATAAATTCTAGCGCTGTCAAATCTAGTGAGAGAAAGCTGGTAGGCCTACATATGAAAGAATGGGTCTATGTGGTCAGTGTGCGCAATGTGAAAAAATCCTGCGGCACACAGTGCGTAATGAGAAAAAAAAAACTTTGACTGTGTTTTTGGATTAAAACAGCGACTTTGCACTGTATTTTCGTATGGTATTTATTGTTGTATTCTAGTTTTCCTGGTATCATTTTATAGAATGGAAAACATACTACAGAAATTGAGATGATTTTGACTGATTTTACAATGAAAAGTACCTTGAATTTGAGCTCAAAGTAGCAGAAATGTTCGATTTTTACCAAAGATCAAAAGTAAACAAATCGTGCCAAGCATCCAATACACGTCAACTGGTGAGTCTAATATTCTTTCACAAGTGCGCTGATATTATTTATACCATTTCTACACTAATGCAGTAGTCTGCATAATAGTAAATCTTCTAATTTTTTTTTTTTTGAGAATAAAAATTCAAAGTGGAAAGCAAAAGAATGTAATATGGGAGTGGAAACATGACTAATGAACAGAGGAAATGTTATTTTAGTTCCAGGAATGTCTTTCTTGTTTATTTTGGACTCTATTCGGAAATTGGTATCTTTTGAAATTTGTGTGAAATTGGCAAAATTGCTGAATTCTGACCACTGTATTGGATAGTTGAAAACGGTAAATGGGTGGTTTCTTGTACTCATTCGATAGAAAAAATGGAGTTCTAGCAAAATAGTTACGATTTTTGTCGACTAGTACACTGGAACTGGCCAAAAATAGGGCTCAAAGTGGGCAAAATCGCCGATGCGTAAACATCATCGAGACCGCTAACTTTGCGAGAGCATATTTCTGTAAGTTTTCCATCAAATTTCATACTTTTGGTTTCATTATGATCGGGAAAAGATAAGATTTTTTTTTTTTTTTTTTTTTTGAAATTTGGCCGACCCTGAGAACAAGTCTCTGAGAAGACCTGCCGACTCCCAAAGGGTTAAAAAGAAAAAAAAAGTTATTCACAGCTAACCCGCAATTTGGAGGAAAGTACAGTGATATCTCGGGATACAAACTTAATTCATTCCAGAAGGCTGTTCAAGTGGTGACACCGAACGAATTTGTTCCCATAAGGAATAACGTAAATTAGATTAATCCGTTTCAGACCCCCAAAACTACACTTACAAAAGCACTTACATAAATACGCTTACATAATTGTTTGAGTTTTGACCTGTTCGTATCCCAAGGTACCACTGTATGTGTTTTGGGCCATCCTGAGCCTTTATGAGGTAGCAAGCAATGTTGCTTGAAGTTTATCTTGTGGTCCTATAACTTAAACTAAACCTGAGAATAATACTTTAGGCTTAATTCTAGGCTGTATAAATTAAACAATTGTATACTGTACCAGTAATGTACAAGTTTTTCTTATACTGTTGTCATGGCTTTACTACATAACCATTTAAAGTAAGTTCTTTTGTATAATTGAATGTGTATTCTCTTTTATATTGAATGTGTATTTTTTAATAGGGTTGCTGAAAAGAAAGGAGTGGAAGTGTTTGAAGTTCCAACTGGATGGAAATATTTTGGAAACCTGATGGATGCTGGCCGACTCTCCATTTGTGGTGAGGAAAGCTTTGGGTAAGTAGTAGTATTTACATTTGTTTGTCAAGACAGTGCATGTGGTGTTAAATGATTTAACTTTTAATTAGTCAATCCTCATAGGTTTTCCAGCTTTAGTCCATATCGAAAGTGTTATAATCTGATTTAGGTTTTCCAGCTTTAGTTCGTATCAGAAGTTTTATAATCTGATTTAATCCTTAGCTAGGGTTTCTAAACTAATATACTTTTTTTTGTTGTTGTTTTACCCTGGGTTTTTGCACCTCCATCTATAGAAAGAAAACTATTGTATTTGTTAGTCTTCTCCCTCTTGTCATATCATATGGATACTAGTCTTATACATAGCATGACCTAGGCACCAAATTGGTTTTTACAAAATTAGTGCAACTTTCTAGCTCTTAACACTGACCTTAACAGTTTGTGTTCTTCAACAAAGTTGGCAAAAAAAAAATAATTAATTAGGCATGGTTTGATGCTGTCATGTGTTTTAGTGGAACAAAACTAGGGTGATAGTTAATCCTTCTTTGTTAATTTAAACCTATGTTTTTACTGATTGGTTTAGTGATCTGCATTATTCTTTCCTCAATGAAAAGGAATAAAATAACTATGTTGTTTTGCCCTAAAGTTTCAATAACACTGTTCTAATGATTATAACAGTTACATTTTGTATTTCTCAACTAAATATAGTATTGTATAGCTCCCACATTTAATAAGTCACTATCTCTACCATCTTTATGCATGAGCATATGTATATAGAGTAATATATGTACAATAATGCTGGGAGCAAGGGGCTAGTAACCCCTTCTCCTATATATATATATTACTAAATGTAAAAGGAGAAACTTGTTTTTCCTTTTGGGCCACCCCGCCTCGGTGGGATACGGCCGGTGTGTTGAAAGAAAGAAGGAGAGATATATGTACAATAATATTTATACAGTAATACCTACCCCTTTCCTAGGTAGTAGGTTGGTAGACAGTAGCCGCCCAGGGAAGTACTAACGTCCTGCCAAGTGAGTGTAAAACGAAAGCCTGTAATTGTTTTACATGATGGTAGGATTGCTGGTGTCCTTTTTTCTGTCTCATAAACATGCAAGATTTCAGGTACGTCTTGCTACTTCTACTTACACTTAGGTCACACTACACATACATGTACAAGCATATATATATACACACCCCTTTGGGTTTTCTTCTATTTTCTTTCTAGTTCTTGTTCTTGTTTATTTCCTCTTACCTCCATGGGGAAGTGGAACAGAATTCTTCCTCCGTAAGCCATGCGTGTTGTAAGAGGCGACTAAAATGCCGGGAGCAAGGGGCTAGTAACCCCTTTCCTAGGTAGTAGGTTGGTAGACAGTAGCCGCCCAGGGAAGTACTACCGTCCTGCCAAGTGAGTGTAAAACGAAAGCCTGTAATTGTTTTACATGATGGTAGGATTGCTGGTGTCCTTTCTTCTGTCTCATAAACATGCAAGATTTCAGGTACATCTTGCTACTTCTACTTACACTTGGGTGTCACTACACATACATGTACAAGCATATATATACACGCCGTTCTGGATTTTCTTTCTAGTTCTTGTCCTTGTTTATTTCCTCTTACCTCCATGGGGAAGTGGAACAGAATTCTTCCTCCGTAAGCCATGCGTGTTGTAAGAGACGACTAAAATGCCGGGAGCAAGGGGCTGGTAATCCCTTCTCCTGTATATGTTACTAAATGTAAAAGGATAAACTTTCGTTTTTCCTTTTGGCCCACCCCGCCTCGGTGGGATACGGCCGGTGTGTTGAAAGAAGAAGAAAAGGAGAAACTTTCGTTTTTCCTTTTGGGCCACCCCGCCTCGGTGGGATACGGCCGGTGTGTTGAAAGAAAGAAAGAAAGAAGTAATACCTACCCCTTTCCTAGGTAGTAGGTTGGTAGACAGTAACCGCCCAGGGAAGTACTACCGTCCTGCCAAGTGAGTGTAAAATGAAAGCCTGTAATTGTTTTACATGATGGTAGGATTGCTGGTGTCCTTTTTTCTGTCTCATAAACATGCAAGATTTCAGGTACGTCTTGCTACTTCTACTTACACTTAGGTCGTCACACTACACATACATGTACAAGCATATATATACACACCCCTCTGGGTTTTCTGCTATTTTCTTTCTAGTCCTTGTTCTTGTTTTTTTCCTCTTATCTCCATGGGGAAGTGGAACAGAATTCTTCCTCCATAAGCCATGTGTGTCGTAAGAGGCGACTGAAATGCCGGGAGCAAGGGGCTAGTAACCCCTTCTCCTGTATATACACCTACCATCCGACTTACGACCGAGTTCGGTTCCGAGAAACCGGTCGTAAGTCGAAATGGTCGTAAGTCGAACTTTACTACTGAATATCAACATAACATTTTTATAATGACTTTATTTTATTGTTTTATTTTGGTATTTCATGTTTTACTTTACTTTTTATGCTGTTAGTACTGTATTTTATACTGTAAGGTTTAGGATAAACACTGTGTACAACACAAATAGTTGTTTATTTCCCAGAAATTTGGCATAAAAAACACGGTCGTAAGTCGAGTGGTCGTAAGTCGAGCAGGTCGTAAGTCGGATGGGAGGTGTATTACTAAATTTGAAAAGAGAAACTTTCGTTTCTCCTTTTGGGCCACCCCACCTCGGTGGGATATGGCTGGTACGTTGAAAGAAAGAAGAAGACCTACCCCTTTGTGGTGTCCCATAGCTCGATTGGTAGTGCACTCAGTTCACACACTGAAGTCCATGGTTCAATCTCCAGTATGGGTGGAAACATTAGGACAGCAATTTTACCCACTTTGACTCCTATTTTAGGCCAATTACATTATTCCAGTTGACCAAATTCTTAGCTATTTTGCTTGCATTACTTGTATTTTATCAATTGAGCACAAACTGCCCAATCAACTATTTCAACCACCCAATAGTGATCAGAAATTGGTAATCTGGCCAATTTACAAAGTTCAGAATATTCCAATTTCAAAATAGGGTCCAAAATAAACAATGCAGGTATTCCTGGCACTAAAATAACATTTCCTCTGTTTATTAGTTATATTACCAGGCTTTACAGATGAATTCTGTTTTGATTACAGTGGACCCTCAGTTAACGCCTTTAATCCATTCCAGAGAGCTAGCCTTTAACCAAATTAATTTTCCCCATAAGAAATAATGGAAATCCAAGTAATCCGTTCCAGACACCCAAAAGTATTAAACAAAATAATTTTTTACATGAAATATACATTTCCCTACACAAAAAACAGTGATGAATGAAGAATAAAACAATAATAACATCACACTTACCTTTATTGTGGACTTGCTGATGAGTGATGAGACGGGAAGAGAGCAGAGGATGAAGGTGTATATTGTTTGGAAGGGAAATCCCCTTCCATAAAGACTTCAGGTAACAATTCCTTTTCTGGCTTGTGTCCTGGGAGTGCCTTTCCCTCCTGAGTAATGTAGGTCTTGTTTGGCATTTTCTTCCTAAACAGGCCTGTTTCATCACAATTGAACACTTGTTGGGGTTGGAATTTTTCAGCCTCTGTGTACTCCTTAAAGTCCTGCACATATTTTTCAGCCACTTTTTTGGCAGAACTGGCAGCCTCACCATGCCTTATCGTACCATACCACCATCACAACCACTACCACCCTCTACCACCACTACCACCCCATATCACCACCACTACCACCCCATACCACCACCACTACCACCACCACTACCACCCCATACCACCACCACCACTACCACCCCATACCACCACCACCACTACCACCCCATACCACCACCACTACCACCATTGCTACCCCACACTACCACCACCCATCACCACCACTACCACCCTCTACCACCATTGCAACCACTACTGCCCTCTACCACTACCACCCTCTACCACCACCATCACAACCACTACTGCCCTCTACCACTACCACCCTCTACCATCGTCGCTGCCACACACTACCACCCCCCATAACCACCACTACCACCCCCACTACTACCAACACTACCACCCTCTTCCACCATCACAACCACTACCACCACCACTTTCATATTTTTCTACAAACTTCTTAAATTATGTGTTTTTCTCACATTTTTACCATAGGGCTGGCACTAGAAGCTTTCTTGGGGCCCATGGTGGCTTATTTAGCAGTTGCAAGCACCAAAAACAATGGAATAATATAAAATATATCGCATGTACGCGCGGAATCGTCCTCACTGGCTTTGTAAACAGTGGCACACTGGCTGGTACATGGAGTGGCCGGGCCCACTCAGGGCGCCGTACCAACACGTTCGGGACGAAAGCTCCTAACCGAGTTTTTAGGTGTTATCCGAGCCAATTTTTTTTATGCCAAAGCGAGGCGTTATCCGATTTTGGCATTAACTGAGGGTCCATTGTATTTATTTACATTATTTGTATTCACACCAAAAAAATTAGAAGATTTAATGTTATGCAAAATTGTAATAATTGTATAAATATCAGCACATTCATGAACATATTTTAAACCCACCAGTTGATGTGTATTGGACACGTGACGTCATTTGTTTACTCTTGAACATCGGCAAAAATTTAACATTTCTGCTACTTTGAGCTCAGTTTCAAGCTATTTTCAGTACTAAAACCAGTCAAAAATCATCTCTATTTCTGTAATATTTTGTCAAATGAGACCAAGAAATCGTGAATGCAACTGCAAAAAACATACGAAAATAAACTGCTAAGTCGGTGTTTTAATCCATAAAGACAGTCGCATTTTTTTACCTCATCATGCACTGCATGCGTGCTGCAGGATTTTTTTTATGTGGTGCACACTTACCACATAGATACATTCTCTCATATCTAGGCCCATATTTTACCCCTCACAGCTTATCTGAGCGAGCTGAGCTCATGATGTAGATCTACAGCTTGGGCCCTCAAAGGGTTAAGACACCTGCTGTCCCTGTTCACCTAGCTGTAAAATAGGTACCTGGCTGTGGGTCACATCCTGGGGACAAAATTGACCTAATTTGCCCAAAATGCTTTATATAATGAGGGA